CAGCTAGCTGACTTACTCGTCTCCCCCGCCCTACTCCCCTCGTGTGCCTACCCACGCCACCTCCCACGCCACCACACACACACACACACGCATACGCCAACGCCCTCCGCCACCACCCCGCACACGCCCATGCCTTTTCCATCCTCCTACTCGGCGCCACTATCACCGCCCTTCCCCCTCTTCCCTTCCCTGCACATGCCCCACTCCCTCGTTCCGTAGCTCCTCCTCCTTCCCCTGCCACTTTTTCCCCGCCCCACCTTCCACAGTCTCCCACCTTCTCCCTCCCTCCCCTCCCCCCCCCCCTCCCCCCCCACACACACAGAAGCAGCAGCAGCAGCTCATACCTTGACAATGCGCTTCGGAAGACTGGCGCTCATGGTGTCCTCTGCTAGAGTTGAGCGTGTCCCCTTCAACCCCAGCCCGCGCCACCCACACACCCCCACCACCACTCCTGTTCCTCACCCTTCTTCCCTCGAACCCGTTCGACCCGCCCATTCGTTCGATTGGGGGGGGGGGGGCGGACAGGATTCATTCAAACGCCGCTGTAGCGCCGCTGCCGCTGCTGCCGCTACCGATGTCACCATCGCTGCCACCGCCATCATGGCTGCCCTCTTCGGCCTCGCCAGCTTCAACACGCTCGCCGACTTCGCCTTCGATGGACGATTCGAGGCCATCGATCAGGTCGGAGAGTGGTTCGAGCTCAGCCGCGCCCTCGACATCGTCCAGTCGGGCAAACGAGTGCGCTTGCCGCGCCCGCCGAAGCGAGCGATGCAGCGACCACGCCGCGCCTCCGCCGACGCCGAGGAGGACAACCACAAAAGCCACGAGTCCGATCCATCCGCCCAGCTCTTGTTTGGCCTGCGTGGACGTCTCGGCCTCGAACGAGTACACCTCACACGTTGTGCCCGACCACCCGTCTTTGCACTGTGTGCACGTACCGTCGTTGACAAAGTGCTCTGACGGACAAATGCAACGCCCGATCGCGCTGTCGCATCGCCCAACACCGGTCTGACAGCCCCACAGGCAGGGGTATGGTACGATTTCGCAGACTCTCCCTGTGTATCCGTCTCGACATTGACAAGCCTTGGCATCGCCGCCGGGAGCGACCTCACATGTCCCGTGTGCCCCGCACTCACCGGGCCTACATGTCACCGGTCGGATGCAGCTTGTGCCGGACGGCCCGGCTTCAAATCCGGGCATACATCCTGTGCAGTGGTGCCCGCCGTATCCAATATCGCACAAGCATGCCACTGCTGCGTCGGCAGGGTCCATCCGGCCGTGCCCGCCGCAATCCACAGCCCCATACGAGGTCGTCAGTTGTAGCTCTATTCCCTCGAGCTGGGATCCGGGCACAAGCACAAGCCCAAACTCGCTCAGTGCCGACGGCTGGTCCGGCCACGGGATCTGGTTCGCGCCCCATCCGAGCTCCCACTCGACATCGTCTACTCTCCGCGCCTCTTCAGGCGACGGCAGCATGCCTACATCGAGTGCAAACGCACTGGCCACGTCCGATGCAGCTAGCTGGTGGTAGACACTTGGAAGCGTGACCCGAACCACAAACCCGAGTCCGGGTCGGAGCTCATGCCATCGTGCTGGTGACACCGCAGCGACCACCTGTGCTCCATCGAGTGTGACAACCACATCAATGTCGAGCTCGCCGCAGAGTGGCGCTCGAAGCCCCAGGTCCGACATCCCCACCGCGTTGGCCACCAGCGTGTACAAGCCTGCTTTGAGCTCGGTGTCGAGTCGAGCCACCAGGTCAGATCCCAGCCCGTTTGGACTCAGCTCAAACTCTGCTACAAGTCGCCCGCCGTCATACACTCCGCCTTCGAGAAGCGAAGCAAACGGCGAGAAGCCAATCGCTGCCACAACCCGCGCCTGTGACTCGCTACCGGTAATCTGGATCGGAACCTCGATTCGGTGAGGCACGAGAGTCTGCACATCCAGTGGAACCGATGCTACAAACGAAGCTTGCGCCTGTGTCTCGCCCCCGACGCCTACCTTCAGGACTTGGGGTTTGGATGGCACGCCTGTGTCGCCCAACACCGGACAAAGCGCATCCACCGCTGCCGCGCCAGCAGCTCGCCCCTCCACCGCCAGCGCAACCGTGGCGCACTCAGCGTCGCGCACAAGGTGTGCATCGTAAGCAAGTGAGAGCTGCATTGTCCCTTGAGCTAACCGGAACGTTGCCACTGCTTGTCCACCCACATACGCAGTTGCCTGGGGAAGCAATGTCACGCCTTCAGCGTAAAACTCGATGCTGATCGGCGCCACACCGACAGCGTTGCCCTCTCCATGGGAGGCGGCCACGAGATCGTCACTCAGCGTCACCATCACCATCACCATCATCTCGTCCGAGAGAGTCAGCCAAGATGAAAGCCGGCCCGAGCTCGACAGCTCCACCGCGTCGGCGACAAACGAGAGTTTCTCTCCGGCACCGCTTTCGATACCCCCAATAGGGAGGACCGAGGTTGGCAAGCAGGGGCTGGGGCTCTGGCCGTCGTCGTTGTCGACAAGCACATCGGCTGCCAGCCAAAACGAGAATCCTAGCCGTTGCAGACTGGTCGGCTTCTCGCCATCCGCCCAAACGGGCACAGAGATGCGCAGCACATACTCGCCATGGCCAGCCATCACGCCGCGCACCACGACTCGATTCTGTCCATACTCGTGCTCAAACTCAAGCACCTCGCTCCCACCGACGCCGACAAGCTCGAGCTCAAGCGCCCCAAACTCTGCATCGTAGTACAACGACGCCTCCAGAACGCCAGGCTGTCCGCTCGTCATTTTGAGTGGCAGCTCGCCTACCAGCCGGCCCCAGCCCGGAGCAACTCGGATTCGCGTCCGTGGTAACGTGGCGCCTGTAGCCCCTGCGCGTAGTGCCAGTGATTCGAGCCCAGCCGCAGCATCCACCAGTGGGTGATTGACCTCATCGGTCGTGTCGGCTCTATTGAGGGCTCTCGCCCAGTCCTCCACAGCATCCAGGCGTGCCGCTGCCCACTCCACTCCGACGAGGCCACGGCCAGACAGCTTGACCTCGTACGTCGTCGGCAAAGGTTGCAGCATGGCCAAGGCCCGTGCGCCGGCGCCGTCAGACGTTGTGCATGCCAAGCATCGACGTGTCCCGTCGCTATCAATCTGGTGCAGCTCCAGTTGCGGAATCTCGCACTCGAGCTCGTCGCAAAGCGCATGCGCCGCCATGCTCAACACAGATGGCTGCGCCACAGACATCGGAAGAACGAGGTCCGGTGAGCTGAACCGGGTAAACACCGATCCCTCTGTATCAATTGGGAGCCACCCGTTTGCACCCGAGCTTCCGACTGCATGGAGCGCAGCATCGTGCTGCCAGAGAGGCAGCTGCGCGCTCGCCTCGGGCCGTGATGCAAAGACAACCGTAGCGCCAAACATAGTACAGGTCGGTCGGACGTTGCTGGCTTGTGACGGCTCCGAAACGCGCAGCAGGTATGAGCCACCCTCTAGATGTGGCACCGAGAGGGTGGCTGTGATGTCGGCGTGCACACCGAGCCGCCCCGCCGCCACAAGACGCTCATCCCCGCTGGTGTATACAGCCACCACCAGCGGCAAAGCCAGCGGCGCTCGAAGCTCGACAAACAGGCTTGTGCCCTTGGAGGTCACCGTGAACGGCATGTCCATGCTGGCACCACCGCCACGGGCGCCGGCAAGCACAAACGGCCGCTGGGCTGGCGCCAGGACAAAGGGCCAGTCAGGTGGGGCGAACGGGACCTGAGTCGGGAGGCTTGGTCCTGCGCTCGGAGGGCAGCTTGTCGTGGGAGCTCTCGCTGCAGGCGACAGCTGCAGTGCCAGCTGCAGCCCATCGACGACAACGTGCCGGCCGTCACTTCGACTCGACGCCCGAATCTCCAACACATACTCGGATGCAAGCATAGGATCAAGTGCGAGACGCAGTGCTGCCGGCGCGTCGGCAGAGTCAGAAACTGCCGAGAACAGCGGGACCTCGGAGTTGTCAGCAACATAGAGCACCAGCTCGACATCAAAGTCCCATGCCGCAGCAATGGCCACAAGTTCGCTCGGTCCTACTGCGGTGATGGCCATGGTGTGGACCACAGCAGACGAGTCACGCCCAAGCCCAGGCGTGGGCAGCACAGCGTTGTCGCTTTGCCATGCGTACACCGCCGGGCGCAGGCCAGGCAATTCGAACCACGGCTCCACAAGTGCGTCCGGCAGCCTGCGCGCCAGTGGTGGTGGAATGCTTGGGGCACCAAGTCGAAGATCAAGCGCAACAGGCGCGCATCGCGCACCCCACATCGCAGTCCTTGCCGCAAAGGCCACCTCGTACAGACCCGGCTTGAGCGACCGTCGATCAATCCGAGCCGACGGTCCACTCCGCACTGAACGTGCCATCACGCGAGGCCGCGAGTCGGCGCCGTCCACATGTCTGTAGAGTACTATGTCAACGGGTGAGAGCAGCGGGTCTGAGAGCACTTCAAGCATCAACTGGAGGTGGTCGGTAATGTCAAAGGTAAACGAGGCAAGAGTCTCGCGACCACTTGCCTTTTCCGGCACCACCTTGCTCACCAGCCAGAACACCTCGTGCCGCGGCGGTGCGATGACAAACGGCGCATGCAGCGGCGAGTTGGATGTAGCAGCTTGGACCACACCTGGCAGCGAGTTGGACGCTGGGCACGGTCGCGGTTCGACAGCATCGTAGCCAGTGGCCACGTAAACTTGAAAAGCGGCACATGGATCGGCTGCACTGGTCAAGGATTGCACGTGCAGCCGCACACCGGTCAGCGTCACACCTGACGGTGGCGAGACAAAGAGCGACTCCCCACGATGCCCCTTGGTGCTCGCAGACGCCACAACTTGTTCTCCGCCCATGTGACTGCGACCTATGACACTGACGTCGATGTCCAGCTCCTTGTGGTACCCTGTTTCGACACGGACTACCGTCGGGGCGCCATCAGCAAAAGCCAGCGTATGGCTTGTCTCCGCCAGCGGCAGGCCGGCACCGGAACGTAGGCCGGCCAGGAACGCGCCGTTCAGAGCCGGCATCTCGGGCGAGAGATGGGCCGGAAAGGCCGGAACAGGCGCACATTGCGCAACCAGCGGAATGACTTGGTCGTTGACCTCTGCTACTCCAAGATCGATCGTCAGGCCCAGCGGCACCACAAGCGTGCGGGTCGAGACAGCAAGTGGGACTGCTGAGCTCATCCATAGCTCCAGCGAGTAAGTGCCAGGTGGCAGGTCCATCTCGAGCTGTGAGGCGCCGGTGTGGATGGTCGAAGAGATCGCGAGCGACGCCTCGCGAACTACCAAGTCCAAGGTTGCCAGTGCAGGATTGAACCACACGTGCGCGTTGAGGCGCCCAAGCATGCCGGGAAGCGCAGGAACGTCGAAAGCCGATGACCAGATCATGATACCGGATACAGGCATGTCATCCATCGTGCGGCGGTCGGCAGTCGAAGGCGTGTACACCAAGTCGTCCACCCAAGCGTCGTTGATGGGAAACTTGATTGAAGCTCTCGGTGGCAGAATGGTTGCCGCCGGACGCGTCGTCGCCGCAAGCTCAACCGCATCGGCGAGGTCCGAGATGGCATGCAGGGCGAGTGAGAGGCGGACTCGAGAACACTCTGCGCCGACGGCGTCGACATCGATATCTTCTGGGGCTGAAAACTCAAAGCGCAGCTCGTAGCTGGTGTGCGGCTGGAGGAGAACCGCAAGAAGGTGAGGGCCGGATGAGGCATCGGCGTCCGAGCCTTCACCGCTGCCACAGCTCGAAAGCGTCTTGACCACCGAGTCTTGCCGACTGCTGCTGGCCTCGCCTGGATGTGGAGGCTGCGCCAGCTGGACAACAGCTGCAGTGACACATGGCTGCACCAGCTCAGTGCTCTCCCCAACGTTAGCAACTAGAGCAGGCGGGACGCGGAGCCTCAACAAGATCGGCTCGGGTGCGGCAAGGAGCGGAGTTATGGCCATGACATGGCTGACCACATCGGTATCGTAGCGATATGTCTCCACTGTGGTGAGAGCGCGCCGACCACCCGAAAGCCGAACTCGACCACGGTGGGAAGCGGAAGGCCGGCGCAGGCAAGGTTCAGCTCTTGAGGATCAACTGCGTTGGCTGTGCATCGTGGAAAGCCGGAGAAACCGGGAGCGCATGCCGAGCACTCGAGACGGGCAGGATCGAGGCTCAATCGCGCGTAGCCTGGTGAGCAAACGCACCGCGGAAGGCCTGAGGCATCGTCACAGTAACCATGCCCCGAGCAAATGTCAGCCGCCGACGCAACGTGAGGGCAGCGAGTAGCAGGTAGGCAGGCGTCGCCACTGGCAACCCAGCCGGACTGGCACTCGAGGCAATGATCGCCAGCGTATGGTGGCTTGCATTGACACAAGCCATCGACAGTGCAACTGCCGTGGCCATAGCAAAAGCACGGTGGCGTTGTGTAGACCGGAAGCGGGCCATCGTATGGCTTCGGTGAGAGCGACAGGTCGCCCGCAACTGCCAGACTCTCCACGACGAGAGACAGAGGATAAATTGAGCCCGGAGCCAGGGTGGCTGCTGGGAAAACAACGACCATGCGGGTCGGATCTGTATCGTCGATGGCCGCCGAGAGAGGAGTGAGGCCATCGCCGAGCACCACAGTGCGGTGAAGGAGAATGGCCGCAAGGAGTGAGGGGGCGTCCGCAGGACCAGCGACTCCCGGCGGCGAAAACACGAGCTCAACAACAAGATCCTCATCAAGCTCAACTACAGCAGATGGGGGTGAGACTGACACCAGCTCCACCCCGGGTGGGCTGTCAGTCGGGACGGCAAGACCAACAATCGAGAGCGAGATGGGGATACAGTACGAATCAAACGAGGCTAGGAAGAGATTGACCGAGATGTCGTCGTGCGGCACGGAAACATCGATGCGGTAGGTGGAAAATCCACGACGGAGAGTTACCTGCAGCCGGCGGGCAGCGTCAAGCGGCCATTCCGGTAGCATCACAAGCGAGCGAGGGGTCGAGGCAGCAAGCACAACCTCAGCGCCGTTCTCGTCAACAGCGACCACGTTCATCTGCGGGAGAGCGATTGCAAGCGGAAAGGCGAGTTCGAGGTCGAGATCTAGCGTCTCGAGGCCTGAAGCCCACTGAGGGTCAAGAGCAAACGAGGCAGCCCACTTTTCGCGACGGTCGGGATGAGCAAGCGCCCACGATGTCAGCACTTTGGAGCTGATGTGTCCTCCGTCGGGTGATGCTTCAAAGTGGACCGAGGCGCCGGCGCGAATGTCGGCTAGCAGGCCGACTGGAGGGAGTGCAATCGGCGCAGGGTCACCAAACGGTGGACCGTTGGCATTGCCACAATCAAGAGCTTGAGCCATGACTCTGATCGGTACAACTGCGCTCTGCAACGAGACGTAGGGACAGTTGTTGGCAGCAAGGGCGTCGGTGGCGTCAAGCTGCCATGCGAGCTCAATGCCCAGCTCCAGCATCGTCAAAGTAGAGTGACCCCACGCTGACGGCGAGACAACAAGCGCGATGGCTTCGTCGCGTGAAGCGAACGTCTGGGAGACCGCAAGCCGCGGCCCAGAGCTGTTTGATGCCCGCAGGGTCAGAGCCATTCCGGCGAGTGGAGGCTCCCACGAGGCAACCACACGAACAACGGCGCTGGACGTGAGGGGAATCGCAATGCTCGGTGCCGAGCGCGGCAAGCCGACCATCGGCGGAATATACCAGCCACCGCGCTGGAGCGAGGTCGGCATTGGCTCGCCAAAGAGGCAGCTAGGGAGACCGGTAGCTGGAGGCAGCGGAAGTCCGGGGGCGGCGATGCCGCCGACAATGTCATGCTGTGCACAGGGAAGGTGCAGTCGCGGCCACGTCCCATGGGTAGTTGCCGGATCGGTGAGGCTCAGCTCGTAGCGAGTCTCAGGAGCAAGCTCAAGGTGGTAGACAACGCGCCCCGGCGCATGAGCTGGTGTGATGAGCTTGCGGGACGGGTTCGGGGTTGCAAACGAGGCGTGAACGGCGGTGAGAGCCGGAACCCAAGGACCCATGGCGACATCGTAACTGACGTGGATGAGAGCGACACCGGAGAACGTCCGTGGTGTGGTGAAGACCGCCCGCGTCGACGTAGTCGAGGCGTTGACACTGCCGGGTGGAGTGGGGAGGCGGAGTGCCAGAGCGAGCGGCTCGCCAAGGCTGAGAGCAGTAGGAAGAGCATGCATTGTGCCCTCGCTCGCACAAATCAACGGCGTGTCGGCGAGAACGGGGCCGGCAGCGAGAACAATCTCAATCCATGCTGCCAAGCAGGCGCTATAGTCGAGCTGCTCAAAGTCAAAGCGCGAAAACGCGATCTCGAGACAGTACATGCCCTCGTCAAGATCCAGGACGAGCGACTCGGTGGTCGAGCCCAGCTCAAGGGCAAGAAACCGGCCAGTGGAGTAGTGAACACACATGTCTCGCGGCGAGAGCGCACCGCTATGGGCGTCGCTTCGGGCGGCTGCAGGATCGAGCCGGGTGACGAAAAGGTCGAGGTCGAGGAGGCCAGCGTCAGGCACAAAGACCCGAAGCGAGGCCGAGGGCGGCGAGACAGCCACAACCATGTAGTGGAACGCGGTATAGAGATGCGACATTGGCGAGTCGGTGGTGAACGAAGGAGGGAGTCGAGCCATCCCAGCCCAGTACTGCACGCCGGCGTGGCCGAGATCGATAACCGTCGACAAGGCGCTCGAGCGCGGACCGGAGAGCATCAAACCTGGCAGCGAGAGCGAGGTGCAGAACATCGGGTCTACCACGGTGTCCTGGGCAGAGACCGCAAAAAGCGAGAGATCGAATGCAAGGACGGCACACTCGGGCACAAAATCCGAGTCAAGCTCGATGAGGGTCGAGCGGATGAGAAGCGCGTACGAAGTGCCGGGCTCGAGAAGCGTTGCCGGCAACTCGTGGAGGCCTGCCGAGACTGTAACTTCCGAGTCGAGATTGATCAGCTCTATCGAGGCGCGAGTGCGGACAAGGTCAGAGGCGACCGAGGCAGAAACGTACGTGTCGTCCGAGTCGACGTTAAGAGGAATCTCGATGGGCATTGGGGAGTCAAGCGCCACAAACGTGCTGCCTAGCGAGAACGGCGAGCCGGGAGCCACCGACGATGGAAGCGCAAGCATAGTGAGCGAATACGCGGGAGGCAGGCTCTGGCAGCAGCACGGCTCATGGAGGGCGGCGAGAGGCAGCGAGTGGAACGAGAGCTCGATTGAGGCGCACCGCTCCGAATCGGGGTCATAGTTAGTGTCTGGGAAAGCGACAAAATCGATGACGACGCGGTAGCTTGTGTCTGCCTCTACAGCGGCAACAAGGGCATCGAGGCCGAGCCGCTCGGCCATCTCGGCTACCCCAATCCACTTGCCGTGGCTGCGGCGCTCAAGGCGCACGTCAACGTCAATCGGAGCAGGTCCGAGCATCAACGTGATGATGCTGGGCATGGCGAGACGAAAGTGGGTTTTGGCGTGCGGTGCGTGCGACGTGGTGGCCACCTCTCCTACTACCGGGATGTTGTCCGGGAGGCGGAGCGAGATGTCCAGTGCGATGGCAGTGCCTGATGGCGAGGTGAGTCGAGGTTCGAGTGTGTGGGGCAAGTTAGCGAGCAGGTGAGGAGGACAGAGAGGCGTAGTGGCAGGCATAGGGTCGACGGCAACGCGGAAGCCGTACGGGATGCAGGTCACGTTGGCGGGGCCGGGGTCCGACGGCGCGATGACGCTGACGGTATACACTCCTGGTTCCAAGACGTCGGTCATAACGTTGACGTTGAGGCTCGAGACTTGCAGGCGGCGGGCCGGCGAGTGAGGCGTGCTCGCCAGCACAAGCGTGAGTTCAGCTGAAACAAGGGCAAAGACAGCGTGGAGCTCAAAGGTGATCCGAGACCTCGTGCTGAGAGTGAAAGGCAAGGCGTGCGAGGTGCCATGCGGCAGGGCAAACATCTCGATGGCATCGTGGTGGGTAGTGCCGTCTTTGAGACGATGCGCGAGTTGAGCGGGTGCGAGGCCACGCGGAGTAGCGGCGCAGTCTGTAGGCGGAACGTCCAGCGGGAGGAAGGCGAGACGCAGAAAGGCCGGCGAACAAGCGAGCTCGGTTGGGGCGTGGTGCACAAAGTCAAGCGTGAGCGAGACGTCGACGCCAGCAGCGACCGGCACCAGCAACTCGTCGGCAACAGAGCGGCGGGTTTGTGAGGCGTCGGCATAGCTGACGGCGATGAGTGGGGTGACGTGCGGTGGCGCAGTCACATGAATGCGGAGCCAGCCCGAGCGCGAGGGCAACCAGGAGGTTGTAGTGGGTGCATGGAGTCGCGGACGAAGATAGGTGGCAAAGGCCAATGCACCTGGCTCAACCTCGACACCAAGAGAGGCATTGAGAGTCAGTGGGAGTGTAGATGGGTACGGACAGGCAAAACGCGCGGCGCCTGCGGCGTAGCTGAGCTCTTTGAGCGAGAAGGCGAGGTCAAAGGCAAGGGCCGTGGCGTTGGCGTTGGCAGGGCGTGGCGCAGCAGATGGCGGGGGAGCAGAACAAGCGCAAGTGAGTATGTAGTTGCCGACTCGAGAACTACATCAAGCGCAACACCAGACGATGCAGCCAATAGCGTGGCGTAGGTACAGGCGTCAGACTGAGTGCAAGTGGCGAGCGAATGCGAGGTGATGATGCCCTTGGCCACAACAAGGGTGAGCGACGAGCCGATGTGTTCTGGCCTGCGCAGTGTAGTGGAGAGACCCAGTTCGGAGGCGCCGGTAGATGGGGTAGTAAACGAGTAGGTGTGCACAAGGTGTGGTGCCGTGGGTGGCTGCGCAGGTAGCACCACCTGGTGGACAGCGTCGACACTCGCAAGCCAGGCGTCGGTCGAGTCAAAGAAGAGCGGCAGTGAGCCAACATCAATAGGACGCGAAGACGGAATGGGGAGAGCAGGCAGCGCGGTGTGAGGGCGGTCACTGGCCGGTGGTGTGGGTCCGGGGCGGCGTCGGCGGCGGTGGCGACCAGCACGTAGACGTGCGAGCAAAGAGACGCGTCGTGGCCATAGTGAGGGGACAATGTTAGGTCCAGGATGGGGTCAGGTGCGTCGAGCGCGGCTAATTCAATCAGCAGGCGCTGTGAGCGGTCGGCGGCCGACTCGCTGACGATCTGGAGGCCGTCGTCGATGCCGTGTGGGGTGGCGGAGATGCCCAGCGGCGGAGCGTCTCCAAGCGGCTGGATCGCGAGCGCGAGCCACGTCGTGGCAGGCGCAAAGTGAAGGACAGGGCGCAGGCCATTGCCCGCGGCATCAGGCCCGGTGGCAGGGAGCGAGAAGAGGGTCCGCAGCTCGCTGCCTTTGTGCGGGGCGAGAGTGAGCGACGGCGGGAGAAGCGGGGCTTGTCTGCAGGTGGCGGCAGAGACCCACATGGCCGGCGTGGCGACAAGCAGGACGACCAGCAGAGCAACCAAGGCAGCCTGGGTCGAGTGCGAGTGGGGCCGCGACATTTGGCAGAGGAGAGAGAGAGAGATGTGTGAGAAGGAAGAGGACAGGAGTTGCTCGCACGGATGTCTGCCAAACGAGTCCGACATGCCCTCCCACCCAAGCTCGCGAGACGGCGCGATCACCTATATCTCCATGGGTAGACTTTTGGTAGACCATCAAATGCAGCAAGCATAAAGTGTAAAATGCAGCAATGATCACGAGGTGCTATTAAGATGCCTACTTGTATGTAGTGCGCTAGGGCGGCGAGGGAGTTTCACAGAGTTGGATTAGGGCCTTGTACATCTGCTGTGTTGTGAACTATAGAAATATATATATTCAAAATTGTAATACTATGAAAATATATTTTGTAGAGTGATAATTTGAATTTGTTATAAAAAGTCAATGTAGTAAAATTAAAAGTATTATATTTGGTGCATGAGGGCCTATTTGTCATGTTTTTTTGCGTTCATGATAGCTACGCCTACCCAGTGCGAGATGCAACTGCATGTAGCCTAATCGTTAGAGCCACCAACATGCCGTACATTGTACACTGTGGGTCATGCTGTGTAATTGTAGATGTATGCTGTCGTGTCCATCTCTCGTAAATCTCGAGGAATCCCGCATTTTCCCGTAAACGATCGGCGGGCAGCGACTCACAGCGCACCTGCCGCAGGTGCGCTGCGAGTTGCTGATTCAGACGGCCTGAATCAGGCCACGCAGCGCAATGGGAGCAAGGCGACACAAACTCCACAGCGCTCAGTACGTGGACCATCACGGCTGAATGGTTGCACTTGTGCTCTGTGCCAAAGCAAATTCGTGTCATTTACAACTACGCAGGAGGACCACGCTACTACTCCCCGGCGCCATCGTCATCAATCGCGTCCGCGACGCCTGCCTCCTCACCGACAGCGAGAACGACCGAGTCAGAGCGCTCCACGTCACCTACCGCCGGAGCGCCTGCTTCGGTGAGGGTCACTTTGGTCTCAGCGCCAGTCTCAACCTCGACCCCGTTCTCAGCATCAGCTCCAACTGTATCTTCAGTCGCGACTCGAGCGTTGGCCTCGTCAACCTCGGCAGTGGCCCCGGCCCCACTCGCGCCAGCGACAGCGGCAGCGGCGCCAAACTGTGCTGAAAGGCGGAGCGAGCGGCGCCGGCGTCGTTCGCGGTTGACGTCCATGCCGACAACGGCGTTGATGTTGTGCAGCCAGGCGCGGGTGTCTGCAGACGACGAGGCGTAGGCAAAGAGAAACGGCTCGGAGGTGACGATTTCGATGACGTATGCGCTTGCAGAGGTGGACTCGGCCTCGGAGGGCATGACGGCGGTGATGTCGTCCATGGGCACGGCGAGGACGACAGCGCGATCAGAGTCCTTGGCGGTGAGGAGAAGACCATCACGGGTGAGGACGCCCCACAGCTTGCGGTAAGCCGGTTCGGTGACACAGCGGATGTTGAGCGGGCCGGTCTTGAAGATGTCAGCCGGCAGTGTGTCGAGCGAGGCTGGAAGACGAACTGGTGCATCGAGGTCGGCCGGCGGAGCGAGGGCGGCTGGTGCGTCCGGACGGAACTTCATCACAATGCCGGTGCCGAGGACGCTCTGGAACATGCCGAGCCATTCAAACATGGTGACCTCGTTGCCGGCGTCGATGTAGTACGTTCGCTTCGGGGTGGCGATGTAGAAGGCAAACTTGCGCTTGCCCACCTCGGCCGTGTTGCGGCAGACCATCATTCGGGTCACGTCCCGAATTTTGATGAGGCCACGGATGCGCTTGTCGGGCGCCGGTGCGTAGGTGATGTTCTCAGCCGAGACGACAAACCAGCGCTCACGCCAGACCTTTTTGGCCCCGCCGCGCTTGCGGAGATAGCCGCACTTGATCTCGTCGCGCTCGGAGAGGACGTCAAAGGTGACACGGCGAGTGGCGCTGGAGCGAGTGGGGGCGACGGGTGCACTTGCCGCGCCGGTAGTGGCAACCGGCTCCCCCTTCCAAGCGTCGCGGACGTGGTTGATAACTGCAGACCAGTCTTCAGTGTCAACTAGCCAGCCCTTGGCGCCGTACGGCTTTCGGATGAGGGAGACGATGCCCTCCAGCGCATCACCGTCGACGAGTACATTGCGAGCAGGAAGGGCGAGGACGGCTGACTGGCCGTCGCTGGCCACCTCGACTCGAGCCTTGTCGATGGCAATGTCCTCAAGCCACGGGACGCCACTGCGGGCAAGCTCAAAGAAGCCGAGACGGTCAATATTGCCGTTCTTGCGGTATGCGCACATGGTTGCGAGGTTCTCGCACTCAAAGGCCTTGCGCCAGATGGTGTAGCACTCAAGCGGATCGCTCGGCGGTGCCGGAACGCCGATGGCACGCTCGAGCGCCATGAGCCACTTGATCAGCGTGTCCTCGTCAGGCGCATAAAGCGAGACGACATGCGCTGCGGTGGCGATCTTGAAGCCATACGGCGGCTTTTCGGCCGCAGCATTACGCCTCGTGCAGATCATGACGGCGGTGGCAAGTGCCGACTTGATTGGCTTGCCCTCCTTGACCGCATAGCGAAGGAATCTGGGCGTGAGCGTCATAAACCGCGACTGCAGCTTCCCACCGCTCGCCGATCGCTTAACAAGATACCCAGACATGAGTACCGTGGTGTCGTCGAGGCTGTCCGGGCGGCGACGGGTGGCAGGAGCGCTGCTGTCCTTGCCTGGCGAGTCCGGGAGCAAGGCCTGTGGCGATGCATCGTCGCTGTCGCCGACACAGTCGGCGACGACAATGGTGGGCCCCAGCAGCGGGTAGAGAGCCTGGAGCCAGGCCACGAGCTCACTCTCGGAGCCGGCGTCAATGTAGTACGTCTTGCCGGGCACGGCAACCGAGAAGCAGTGCTGGCGCTCCTTGACCTGCTTGGGTGAGTGGACCTGGGTAACGAGGTTGATCCGCGAAATAGCAATCGAGCCCTTGAGCGGCTTGTCGGGTGCTTCCGAGTACATCAACTCTTCGGCGGTGAGCGAGAACCAGCGCTTCTGCCACTTGGTGGAGAACTTGCCACCGCGCTTCGACATGTAGCCAGACTTGAGCTCCAGTTCGTTGCTGGACGGCGCGTCAGCACCAGGGCTAGAGCCACCATCAGCCGAGGCATCCTCAACGACCTCCCTCTTCTCGGCGGCAGTCTTTGGCGCCTGGCCTGTGTTGTTGTCGTTGTTGTCGACGGCAACTGTTTCATCCGAAACAGGATCAACAGCTGCGGACGCAACAGCTTTGGCAGCGTCAGCTAGCGAGTCGCTCAGGCCTGACGATCGGCGGCGGTGCTGCTCCAACGGCAGGACGCCGATCTCATCCTCGAGCGCAAACGTGGCAAAAACTTCGAGGTCGGCCGAGTCAGAGTCGTCGGATGAGTGGACGCCGCTGCACTCAGAGATGAGCGTGGCAGGATCAATGTCGTCTTCGGTGTCAAGCCTGGCGTTCAAGGCGTCGTCGATCTCCATGAGCGTCGTGTATGATCGCGCCACATCGTTGCCGTGCTGCTCGACCTCCACAACTTCCAGCTCGAGATCATCAGAGTAGTCCGATAGGATCGACTCAGTCCACGGCGAAGCTGGGCGATACCTCATTTCCTCGGTCTCGCCCTCGGTCTCGCCCTCGGTCTCGCCCTCGGTCTCCCCTCCGTCGGCCGCATCACACACTTCACCGTCGTAGTGAGGCTCAACTTGGCTGGTTGCGGCTACAGCGAGACCCACTGCTGTGCCGGTAGCCACCACGCCGGCTGCAAGGGCAGCAGAAGCACTCGCATCCCCAGCGCCGCTCTCGGCCTCGTGGTTGACCGACTCGCCATCAGCAGGTGGCCCCACAGCTTCCACTCTGATCTCAGTCTTGGCCTGAGTCTCAGCCTGATCTTCAACGACAAACTCGGTCTCCACTTTAGCCTCGGCCTCGGCTCCAGTCTCAACCGCATCAGCCTCGGCTCCAGCCTCGGCCTGAACCTCGACCTCGGCCTCGACCTCATCAACCTCGGCTCCAGCCTCGGCCTCGACCTCGACCTTATCAACATCAGCTCCGGCCTCGGCCTCCATTTCAGCCTCGGCCTCGCCTTCAGTCTCACCTGCATCCGCCTCAGCCCCAGCCTCGGCCTCGGCCTCGACCTCCACCTCCACCTCCACCTCGGCCTCCACTTCAGCCTCGGTCTCGGCTCCAGTCTCAACCGCATCAGTCTCGGCCCCAGCCTCGGCCTCGGCCTCGACCTCGACCTCGACCTTATCAACATCAGCTCCGGCCTCGGCCTCCATTTCAGCCTTGGCCTCGCCTTCAGTCTCACCTGCATCGGCCTCAGCCCCAGCCTCGGTCTCGACTCCAGTCTCAACCGCATCAGCCTCGGCCCCAGCCTCGGCCTCAACCTCGACCTCGGCCTCCACTTCAGCCCCGGCCTCGGCTACCATTTCAGCCTCGGTCTCGGCTCCAGTCTCAACCGCATCAGCCTCGGCCCCAGCCTCGACCTCGGCCTCGACCTCCACCTCGACCTTATCAACATCAGCTCCGGCCTCGGCCTCCATTTCAGCCTTGGCCTCGCCTTCAGTCTCACCTGCATCAGCCTCAGCCCCAGCCTCGGTCTCGGCTCCAGTCTCACCTGCATCCGCCTCAGCCCCAGCCTCGGCCTCGGCCTCGACCTCCACCTCCACCTCGGCCTCCACTTCAGCCTCGGTCTCGGCTCCAGTCTCACCTGCATCCGCCTCAGCCCCAGCCTCGGCCTCGACCTCCACCTCCACCTCCACCTCATCAACCTCAGCCCCGGCCTCGGCCTCAACCACAGCCCCAGCCTCGTCAGCCGTAACCGCCCCGCGGTCACCTTCTTCCTCGTCGTCCCCAAGCTCGGCAAGGAGCGCCGCCAGCGGATCATGGAAGCTCAACTCGCCGTCATCGTTGCTGCTATCACCCGTGGCAGCGGTGCTTTCGCCGCATTCGCCGCTTTCGCCAAAAACCGCATGGCGGCAGTTGTTGTCCCCGCTCCCAGACGCCTCGGGTGCGGCTAACTCAGCAACAAGAGCCGCCAGTGGCTCACAAAGGCTTGCCACAAATGCTTCGCCCCTTGCATGGGCGAGTGTGCCGAGTGCGCGCTCGACAGCGTCGACGGGGTGGCCCGCCATACGAACGACGGCTGCCGCCAGCGTGCGCATGATCGCCAGGAGCTCCTCGGTGGGACGTGCGGCGTCTCCACCTGCGGGCGTGCAGCGCGCGTCGTCGTCGCCTCCTACGGTACCTTCCATGCGCGTCGCCTCCGCCGCCTGCGCCGACAAGTGTGCCGGCCCGAGGTTTTACTTGCCACCTCTGACATGTGGCTATGACGACTCGGTGTATGAAAAGACCTCGTCACTGCCCGACGCCCAGCCGTCATTGCCGTCGCGAGCCGAAGCGAGGAAGAGTCGCGGATTGTCACGGTAGGAGACAAGGTCGTCTGGCAGCTGGACAACCTCACCAGGCAGCCGGTAGTCGTAGGTGTAGTCAAACTGGATGGCGCTCCGGATGGTCTGGCGCCCATCGCCCGCAGTGGCGGATGGGGCCGAGTTGCCAAGCGCCGCCGGCGGAAGATCGCCGTCAGGCGTCAAAGGCTCAGGCTCAAGGTCCGCGCCGCGGTCGTACTGGTGCGCATCAGGCAGCCGTGAGAGCGTCGTGTGCTCGGTCGCCCGCGACCGCTTGCCCCCACCGGGCTGCGCTGACGCCACCAGCGCTAGTTCAGGGGTCGGCCCACGCGGCGGCTGCCTGGCTGCGCTAAAGTCGATCCGATGCTCCACCCCAAACGCAATCGAACAGCCAAGCGTCCCACACGCCTTGTCCGGGCCAGCCCAGTTGGGAGTCGGCCGCAGCTGGACCTCGCGGACCTCGTCGGTCACGCTGTTGTACACGTACAACGCCACAGCGCGTCCCACGTGTGCGTCCAAGTGTTTGAACAGGCACGTTTCAGAGCTGAAAATCGCATCGCGTGCGCCCACAATGTAGTCCAGCTCGGATATGAGCCCAGCCTCGGCCGCAGGCGACTTGGCCTGCACGTTGAGAACGTGCCACACCAGCTCGTCAGCCTTCTCGTACGGGCAGAACCGGATCGAGAGCCCCAGCAGGCCCGTCCCACCCCAGGTCTGCGACGGAATGAGCACCACGTCCCGCACAAGGCCCGTCTTCACAGAATACACCTGCACCACCAGCGGCCGCCCCACAAAGGCTTTGAGGATGTTGACAAACGTCTCGTCCTCGGCCTCGAGCGTCACCCCGTCCGCAGCCACAATAAAGTCAAAGAACGGCTCCAGTCCAGCGGCAGCAGCCGGCGACTGCGGATGTACCTATCCTCCTCCATCCCATCCCTCCCTCCCAGTGAGTCATACCGCTGCTGCTCTCCCAGAGTCTCGCCCCGCTACCCCACTGCCCACCTCCCCTCGCTATTCACCTTCTCCCCCCCCCTCCTCCTCTCCCACCCCCTCCTCTCCCGCCACTACCCACCTCCACCTACCTTGAACACCTGATACCCAAACGACGATGCGCCCTGACCCATTTCTTCTCTCCCCGGCCTCCTCCCGCCGCCTCTGCACCGGGGACGAGTACTATCCTGCGTCCACCTCTACCTCGGTCTCCTCACCAACCACAGACCCCTCGTCGCCGCTCACCCTCTCAACCCAAACCAAACCAATTCCATGCCACCCACCAATGGAATCATCTATCGAACGCGAAAAAGGGCTGCTCCGCGTGACCCCTCCGCCGCCGCACTGCACGCGCACGACACGACCCACAGCCACCCACACTCGACCCCCACACACACTCTCGACACACACTCTCTCCCTCTCTACTTTACACCTCTCTCACACCCGCACACACACAACACACACCACACACACACATTCAACTACCAAGTCCACACACACCCTCCCCTCCTTCTCCTCCTCCTCCCCGCACACACCACCCACAGCCATGGTCTCCAACCTGCACCTCGTCCTTGCTGCCTGCGTCCTGGCATGTCTGGCCCACGCTACCGCAACTACCATCTCGGTCGACGCCCCCACCCCGCTGTGGTACGCCTTCTCCCTCCCTCCCCCCCTCCCTCCTCCCACTCACCCACCCTCCTCCCTCCAGGACCGAGTGCTCGAACACCTCGCACGGCTTCACCGTCACCAACCTCTCGCTCAGCCCGGACCCGCCTGTGCTTGGGAAGAACATGACCGTCACCATCACTGGCGACCTGTCTGAGGCCATCTCGGCCGGTGAGTTTTCCGTCAACTTCACCTTCGCAGACGTCCCCGTCTCGCGCACCACCGTCTCGGTCTGCGACATTGCAACATGCCCTGTCCCCCCCAATCCCTCCGCCGTCTTTGTCTTCCAGGCCATCCTTCCCAGCCAAGCGCCCACGGGACCGTACGTCACCAACATCATCCTCAGCAACTCCTCGCTCGCCCAGGTCGGCTGTGTCAATGTCCGCTTCGACATCTCCACCGGCCTCGCCCTCGACCACGACCACGACATCGACACTCTCGGCGATAGCCCCCTCGACGGCTCTTGAGCCACTTCCCTTTGCTCGTTCCGATCCCTGACACACACCCCCACCCCTACCTACCGTTCCGTGCCGCTCGAGTCAACTCGGGAACTCGACGGCCGCCTCGCTCGGTGCCCCATCTCACTGTCAAAGACCAAAGACTTTAAGACTTTCACACACACACACACACACATACGCGGCATGGAGCAGCTTGCTCTCGGCACCACCGTCTGGCTTGCCAAGACCCGCGGGACCATCCGCTACGTCGGCTCGCTCCCTTCGCTCCGCGGCACCTGGCTCGGCCTCGAGCTCACCGCCTCAGCCCCACCGCCCTCCACTGCTGACTGCATCTTCCCGCGCGCGGACGAGCCGCCAGGTACCCTCGGCGGCGAGCGGTTCTTCTTCCCTCACTCGCGCACCGCCCGCGTCGTCTTTGTGCGCCCCGCCGCTGTCTGTCCGCCCGCCGCACCCCACGCTCCCGCCGCCCTCGCGGCACGCCCGCTCGACATCGGCGAGCTCGTCACCCTCTGCCGCCCTTCCTCGCCTGCACAATCTCGCGCGCCCATCATCGGCGATGTTGCTTGGGTCAGCACCCTTCCGGACTCGCCAGATCTCACACACGTCGGCATCGCCCCTCTCCGCTGCCCAGATTCGCTGCGCCCGCTTGCCGCTCAGGCTGTCGCAGACCTCGCCGCTCAGCTCGACCTCCCGCTCTTTGTCCACGACACACCTTCAGCCACTCTATACAGCCACGAAGCACCCGCAGGCATTCACGTGCCTCTCGACTCTGTTGACCGCTACGAGCTCCTCGCATCGGGCCCGACTCCCCACCCATCGTCGTCGGCATCGTCTGCGCCCTCGTCACCCTCCTTATCCGACTCGCTAAGCGCCTACATCTTGCCGTCCACCCGCGCCCGCGCCTTGGTGGCCTTTGCCTCGCGCCTCGGACTACGCTCGTCTGCCACGGCGAGTAAGGGCGAGCTGCACACGTCTAACCTCAACAACCGTGCCGTCGCCACCTTTTCACTTGACCCCCTGATGTTGTCGGGTGCGGTCAGCCCTGCCCAGCTCGAGGCCCAAGCCCAGATCCGCCATCGTCTTGCATCACCTTCACTTCTTCCCTTTCAAGGCCTCGCTGCAAACTCAGCCGCCCAGTGGGCCTTTCTCCTTCACGGATCGGCCCCGCTCTCGCTGCCAGCCCTCGCCCTTGCCGATTCGCTCGACGCCATCCTCACCACCCTTACCGCCGCCGCCGCTGCACTGCACTACCTCAACTCACTGGGCATTGTTCACGGCGCGCTTTGCTTCGAAGCACTCTACGCTTCGCTGGATCGCACCTCGGTCGCTGTTCTGCACCTCGCCCCGGGCCTCAACAGCGTCATCCTGCCGGCATACGCCTACGCTGCGCCTGAAGCCTTTCAGCGCAAGCTTCCGCTGACCCCGGCGGCAGACGTCTTCTCCTTTGGCCTCCTTGTCTGGGCCCTCTGGGCCGGCGAGCCGCCCTTTCCCACTTCACTTGACAGGACCAAGGCCTGGAACGAGCGTCCGCCGCTCGCTGATCATTGGCCGGCCCTTGTCTGCTCGCTCATTGACGAGTGCCTTCAGCTCGTTCCGTCTCGTCGCGCTTCTCCCGCCCGCATCCTAGGCTACCTCGCCCTCATCCGCCACGCCGCCGCGGGCTCGCCCGCTGCCCTCCTCGACGCCATTTCTCATGCGGACACGCCATCCGCAACACGGCTCCTCGCTTGGCGGCCCGACATCAGTGACCCGGACGCGCTCTACCGCATTCTGCCTCCGCTTTCGCTGCCAGCCTTTGGCTCACTCGCCGCCATCTGCGTTGCAGGCAGCCGCGTTTTTCTCGCCTCGTCATCGTCGCCGGCCGTCATTGCCCTCTCACTCGCCGCCACTGCCAGTAGACTACGCTCGTCGTGGCAGTATCCGCTGACCGCATCCCCCACAGCCATGCATCTCCTCGACGCAGGGACCGTCCTTCTTGTGGCGCTCGACGACGGCGCGCTCCTCGCCCTTCATCCAAGCTCGGGTGAGCTTCTCGCATCACGCCCTAATCCACCGCGCTCGGTCATCGACTTTGGCACTGCCGCCAATGCACGCGTCCATGCCGTAGGCATGACCTTTTCCGCCGCCACAAGCACCCTTGTACTCGGGTATTCTAATGGCGTTCTCGTTCTCGTTACTACCTCCGACGCCGATGCCGCCACGCTGCTCACCCGTGCCTCGCGGTGGCGCGCCCTCTCCTCGCCACATCTTCCAGAGCTATCGTCCAACGCCCTTCTCCAAACTTGTGGCGGTTTTCTTGTCGTTCACCGCCGCCTTCCGTTTGAGCCGCTCTTGGTCTTCCACCTCGACTCGCGCATCCTTGTTGGCCTCGTTCCGGAACCGGTCGCCCCACCCGCTATCGTCACTGCACTGCACCTTGCTGCCATCCCCGACCTCGAAGACACCTTTACTCTGCTGGTCGCGTCGTCGGTCGGCACTGTCACACCGGTTCACATTGTATGCAAGATCGAGGCTGATGGCCACACTGCTTCCGTTGATGTTCTCACCGAAGACGCGGCGCTAGTGACAGAAACCCCGATCGGCCTGCGCTCCTTGATCTTTGTGCCAGACGCGGGCATTGTCCTTGCTGGCGCAGACGATGGTTCGCTTGTTGCATGGGATTGGCCGACACGCGCGATCCGCAACCACTGGTTTGGCAGCAGCCCAGCCCATGTCATCGGCCCTGTCCACGCACTTACCCTCACTCAGTCTGGCCTTGTCTTCTCAGCTGGCGCCGACGGTACGCTGCGGGTGTGGCAGCCTGAGTCTGGAACTCAGATCTACGCCTTCCCCGCACTCCCGGCGCCACTCACCTCGCTCTACCTTCTCGGAAGTAGCCATGTCCTAGCTGTTGGTCATCAGGGCCTTGGCGTTGCCTGGTCCACTCTCCCGCTTGCCTTTCTCGCCTCGCTCGGCGCTGCGGAGCGGCTCTCACCTACGCAGGCTATCGCGGTTCCACCCATGTATCCGGATCGTTTCCCTCCGTTTGATCCGGCTCTTCTTGCCTCGTCACAACCTGATGTGCTCCAGCAGACGCTTACCCGCATTTTGGTTCCGCTTCTCGTCACAGATGCTGACATGGCTGCACCGACCACACTTCCGCTCGCCCGCTCGCTCGCCTCAATTCCGTTTGCAGCCGTCAGACTCGCCACCACCCTCCACGCCAAGGGCTTTCTGGTTGCCGGCCTCGACCTACCACCGCAGTCGGACTCGACTCAACTCCACCCTTTGGCCGACATCATTTCGCTGGCATCGCCACACATTGTTCCGCTCGTCGCCGTCTCACACGTGGCAGAATCACCCGACATGGGTGTTGGCCTTGCTCACTTGCTTCCGCATCAGCCGCGCTCACTTGCCTGGGTCTGGTACGACCACATGCCCGACGACCGGCCGCTTGCACTGTCAATGGCGAGCGGTGCACTCTCCACCCTCTCTGCTCGCATCGCTGCGCTGCATGACCTAGCATCTGCGCTCAAGACAGTGCATGCTCTTGGAGCCGTCCATGGCGCCATCTGCCCGTCGATGGTCTGGGCATCCCCCCGTGGCGACGGCTGGATCTTCCGCCTGGTCGTTCCACCAGCGCTTATTTCAAGCCCCGAGACCGTCGCTGCCCATCTTACTCACGTCCATGCAGGTCTTGTCACGGCTACAACGCCCGAAGCGGCTGCTGAGTTCTCGGGGCCAGAAACAAGTCTCGAGCTCGAACTCGATCTGGCGGCCGCGCTCGAATCCCGGGTCGGACGTGACAAGTGGGCAACACTCGTGGAGCCGCAAGCTTATGCGCCTCCTGAAGGTCTCGCGCGGACTGCGGCTGCTGACATGTACGCATTTGGCCTCCTCGCCCATGAAGTGCTGGCAGGCTTGCCGCTGGTGTCATGGCGTGATCCAGAGAATCGCTGGTTGCGTCCGCGGCACCAAACATGGTGGCCAACGCCGCTACGAACGCTAGTTCTCTCGGCGCTGGCGGTCGATCCGCAGCATCGGATCTCAGCTTCAGACGCGCTTGCGCTGCTTGAGGATGCCGCTGCCGCTGCCGCTGCCGGCACCCACGCGCTCGTCGCCGCTGCGCTCGTCGACCACGACGCCATCACTGTCGACTCGCTTGCGATCCATCTTCCTGCTCAGGTTGGTGATCCAGCGCCCGCCCTTCCCACCAAGCACCTCACCCTTGTCAGCGGTATTGTCTCGCTTACATGCGGCGCCAGTCGAGTGGTTGCGACGCTGGCAGCCGACGGCTCAGTCATGGTCTGGCACCTTGCGCCGACGTTGGGCAACCGGTTGGACGCAGAGTCGGCATCGCAACTGCACTCGCTTCGCATCGGCGCTCCGCGGGTCCGCAACATGGTTGCTCTCGTCTCGCTCTCGTCACTCTCGCTCCCGGGTACCACGTCGCGCGCTTCTACGCCTGTTGTTCTCGCCAGCTCGCAGGGTAACCCGGAACTGTCAGGACGGCACATCCTTCTCCATCCACGTAACCCACTGTTTGTCATCGAGGATGCCCATCCACATGGCGTCGCCGCCTTTCACCTCCTCGCCTTGCAGTCTGACACCGAGGCTGCAATCTCGTTTGGCGTCAGCGAGGACTCGGTCAAGGTCTGGTCGCTCTCGTCACTGGCTCTTGTACGTGGCCTCTGGCTTCCCGACTCGGCCGGTGCGGTGGTCGATGTTTGTCCCGGACCTGACGGTGTGGTCTACGCCCTTGCTGGTGATGGTACGCTGGCGGGATGGCGGTGCCCCCTCGATTCGTCGACAGCAGAGCTTGTGTATCCCATCCCGACGCCTTCAGGAGCACTCAACGGACGGATTCGATCTGTTCCGCTCGCGCCGTGGGAAGCCAACGTGCACTTGGTCCTTGTTTGGCTTCCTCGGCTCGGCCGCCTCGTCGGGCTCCGCGTGGCGTGGTCCGAGGCGACGCTGGCTGGCCCTATTGTTGATCTGCTGTTTGAAGACTGGTGCGTCAACTGGGTGGTGTATGCCCAACCAAGCCCTGACGCGTTTCCGGCTGCCCCGCTGCTTGATCAAGCCGGTGGCGCTATTAGCGTTGCAGTTGGCGTCTCTGTTCTCAACCAGCTGTTGCATGATGAACTTCTGGCGGAGCGCGGCGGAGTGCTCGACGAGTCGTCGCTCTCGTACGCCTACTCACCCGAGAAAGCGTTCTCAGAGACTGCATCGGCAGCTCATGCGAGACACTCACCGTGGTCTGCCACACCTCTGGATACCCCGTGGCACCTTCATCCTGCGCTCTCGCCGGCAACGCCGATGCCAACCCCAGCCGCCGTCGCTGCGAGCCAGGGCACCGATGCCGCTCCTCTCCGCGGCATCGTACATGTCTGGGATCTGCTCGGCCACACGCCGCGGGTCCGACTGCTCATCGATGCACACGCTGCCGCCCTCACCGCTATCGTCGCCCTCACCGCCACCGCCACAGTAGTCACAGCCTCGACCGACGGCACTGTTCGAGCGTGGGATACCAAGACCGGGCGACTCCTTTGCACTCTTCTCGATGTTGGTGACCATATAGTCCCTACTGTTGTGGTCCAGGCCCCGACTCCCGACGACCATATGCTTTGGATCGGGGCATCAGACGGTTCTGTTCGAGTCGTCGATGTTGTTGATCACATTGGTCGTGCACTGGTGTAAATACGCTCAATCTGTCCGACGGGCTAATAAGTCGAGTGGTGCTGCACTGGCGCTGCTCGGCCGCCTGCCTCGCACGGCTTTGAGGCAACATCCCCGCGCTCTGCCTCCGGCTCGAGCTGATCCAGACGCCGCCCGCCACTCGCGCAGCGAGGTGTAAAATTGCAACTCTCTCAGTTATTCCTTTGACTGCCATAGACATCGACTTGTGAAAACTGCTATTGCACCCCGATGCACGATCTGATGGTGTTGTCGATGTTGTCAAGCACATTTGTGTGTGTTGCACCACTCACACAGTGGCAACAACCGGTCGATGATCGTACATTCCTCCGCCAACTGCTGGCAACGCACCAACTGCTCATTCTCTCGTCAGCTCATACTCTCACACATGCTCGATCTCCTCGACTTTCGCGCAGCGAGGTGTAAAATTGCAACTCTCTCAGTTATTCCTTTGACTGCCATAGACATCGACTTGTGAAAACTGCTATTGCACCCCGATGCACGATCTGATGGTGTTGTCGATGTTGTCAAGCACATTTGTGTGTGTTGCACCACTCACACAGTGGCAACAACCGGTCGATGATCGTACATTCCTCCGCCAACTGCTGGCAACGCACCAACTGCTCATTCTCTCGTCAGCTCATACTTGACAACGTTTCCTCGGTCTCTTCTCCCCTCCCTCTTTCCCCATGTCCATTGACGCTATTGCCGAGCTCTCCCTCTCCACCGTGGTCCTCAACCTCGCCCGTATGTCCTCTTCCCCCTCCCTCTCCTCGCCGCCCCTCTGCCCGTGATCCCCTCCCTTGCCCTCTCCCCCTACCCGCCCTCTGCCTACTCACTCCCCAACCCCACACAGTATTGGTAGCGGTGGTCGGTGGTCTGCTGATGTTCATGAACCGGTCGTCGCGCAAGTGCCATGACCGTGATGCCCCTGCAGGCGCCATGGCTGCTGGCCCGGGTACCGGAGGTGCCGCGGGTGGTGGAGCGACGACCACGACAGCCACCGCCCGCCCGCCGTCGGCCTTCCGCGGCCGTGCCCGCCGCCGCGACTGAGCTGCAGAGCTGCAAAGCTAGGTAGGCGCTATCTGCTGAAGCAGAGGCGAGCTGGACTGAGCTATACCAGTGTCGGGGCGTTTGAGATGGTCGTGGGATGGGTCTGGTCTGTCCGATCGCTTGTCTCTGGTTGCTGCGGGGAGCAATGACCCAGCGAGTTCTCCTGTTCCGTCCGTGGCAGTGCGGTCGTTTGGTGTTCCTCACTTGGTTTACAGCGGGAGCGATGCCACGAGCTCGATGTCTGCCTGGCGTTCTGCTTGCTGCCTGCGTTGGCGCTGGGTCATGTGCGAGGCGTGCATGGTGGTCTGGCTCTTGGGCATGAACGGCTTGTAGTACGCCGGTGGGATGGAGGTCGTCTTGGCGCCGTACGCCAGCTCCTGAACCATGAATGGGTTGGTGGCCGCCGCCGGGCGTCGTGATGATCGTCCAGGGCTAGCGGCCGTGGCTGGCCGAGAGTCGCGGCGGAACATAGTCCCACCCTCGGCCGACACAATGCCAAAGCCCGGCATGGTCGAGTGGCCTGTGCCCGGCCGGACGGCGTGCTGCCTGTCGCCATTGCGCCCGCGGGCTGGTGGGATGTAAACGTTGCGCTGTGAAGACGGATAGTAGTCGTCAACAAGAGCGGGGCGGAGCTTGGGCGCGGGTGCAGCAGCCCCACCGTTGGCCGAGTCGACAGCAAACGGCGGCGGAGCGACCACGGAGCGATGCGGGCCGACAAGACGCTTGCCACGCCGGCTGCGGCGGCGGGTGACAGTGGCGGTTGTTGGGCGGGTCTTGGGCGGGTGTGGGGCAGGAGGCGCCGGCTTGGGTACGGGTGCGGGCATAGGGGCTGGGGTTGGTAGAGCAGCGGCAGGTGTCGCGGCAGGCACCGGCGCAGGGGGCTCGGAAGCGACCGGCGGAGAAAGAGCTGGTTTGGGCTCTGGTTTGGGCGGTGAGGCGACAAGCTCGAGCTGCGGGGCGGCTGCAGCGCTACCGTTGAGCATAGGCAGCGAAGTTGCGGCCGGGGCGTCGGCGTGGTGATGGCCATCGAGAAGGATATAGTCCGGGTCGAGCGGGTTGCCCTTGCGATCGCCCTTCATGCGGCGGATGCGCGGCGAGTCGACCGTCTTGTGAGCAAAGGCGGATGTGTTCGAAGAGGTGGGTGGACGGGCAGCAGGTGGCGGTGGGGGCGGGTGCGAGCCATCCACATCACCGATGACCACCTTGGCCGGGAGCATGGCGCGCGAGCGATCGATGTCCTCTACCATGCCAGCCTTGGTGTACTTAAGGGCACGTGGGGCGTGCGAGATGATGTAGTCATCGACGCGCGGTGGACCCATGACGTACTGCGGGTTGAGCGGGTTGGTTTGGCGGGTGGAGCGCCAGGCGCAGGCGTTGTTGATGTCGGCGACGGCGAGCGGATTGCGGCGAAAGGGAGGAGCCGGGGCTGTGTGCGCGCCGTCGATGTCGTCAGTCTGTAGCGGGTTGCGGATCGAGCGCGAGGCGTAGTGTGACTTGGACTTTGCGCCTTGGATGTCGTCGACGGCGAGGACGTTGCGCGGTGGGGCGGTGGCACTTGCTCTCGCTGCGGCGGCTGCGTGGTCCGGCATGCGCGGAAGAATGCCACCGGCCTCTTCGGACATACCTGGCGGGAGTGAGCCATCGGCCCGGCGATGCTCACCGCCGACTTTCCCGTACGAAGGGGCCAGCGGGTTGGTGTGCCGACGGGTTTGGAAGCGAACAACCTGCGGCTGCGAGCCGGCAATGTCCTTGTTGGAGAGGGCGTATGCTGGCGCGTTCGTTCTTGCTCGATGCAGCGGACGCGGCCTGTAGCCAAGCCAAAGCGGAGCAGGAGGCGTGCATCGGAAGCGCAGGCGACGGGGCGGCAATGGCAAGCGACGGCGGGGGGGGGGGGGGCGGATGAGGGAGCGATGGCAGACCACCAGGAAGGCCAATACACCGCCAAAGCACCACCATACGAGACCATCACCCGTAGACACACCATAAACCAACCACACATATGAGTCTCCATCATATGGTTGTACCCCACTCTGCTCCCCATCCCCATCCCCACGGCCCATGGCCCCGCCACCACCTCAGCCCAACGGTCGAAAACAGGCGCCAATGGCAGGGGAGGGGAAGAGGAGGGGGAGGGGGGGGGGGGGGGAGGGTAAGAAGGAAGAGGGGGAGGGGACTGGAAGGAGCGTACCTGTCTATGGGTTCAAGGGGAGGACGGGGCAGTGCGTCGTAGCGGCGGCGTGGGCGTGCGCCGGATATGTCTGCGGTGGTGAGGGAGGAGGGCGGATGCGGGGCACGGCGGTGGCGGGCACCTGGACTCCCTCCGGAGGGGAGGGTACGGAGATAGGAGGTGTCAGCACGGGTGGCTGTCGGATGGTTGTCCCCGCGGAACCATGACCATGCGCTCTCGTCTCCCTCTCGTCCCGCCATCTCTGTCGAGCTCTCGGCCACAGCGACAAAGAGAGTCGGTGAGAGAGCAGCTTGCCCGCCTGGCCGCCTGGCCGCCTGGCCGCCTGGCCGCCTGGCCACCTGACCACCTGCCCTGCCAGCCATCCATCACCCTGCCCTGCCAGCCATCCATCACCCTGCCCTGCCAGCCATACATCACCCTGCCCTGCCTGCCATCCATCACCCTGCCCTGCCAGCTATACATCACCCTGCCCTGCCTGCCATCCATCACCCTGCCCTGCCAGCCATCCATCACCCTGCCCTGCCAGCCATCCATCACCCTACCCTGCCAGCCATCCATCACCCTGCCCTACCAGCCATCCATCACCCTGCCCTGCCAGCCATACATCACCCTGCCCTGCCAGCCATCCATCACCCTGCCCTACCAGCCATCCATCACCCTGCCCTGCCTGCCATCCGTCAGTCACCGGTCATCTGTTCCCACTCCAGCTGCCGGCCGTCGCCCACCCCCCCCGGGTCCGTCAAATGGCACCGTCTCAGCCAGGTCGGCCGCATATCATCAAGGTGGCCATCGCACCGATCGGGACAGGTTACTCACCCTTTCATCCCCAACTTGCACGAGATGCTCGCTCTCCCAACAAGTTGGGCGGTTGTGGGTGTGTGTGTGTTGGCCAGTGATGGCTCGGCCCGCCAGCTCTAGCCGGCCGGATCGAGATAGCCACACATGCCCAACTATTTCGAGATGCTTGCGGTCTAAAGACGGCGGCGACATGCAGGGATTGCATGCCACCATGCGCGGCATGCTCCGCTGGGTGTTGCCGCTGAGTGGGGCTGGACCTGGGATCGGTGGTGTTGGGCGGGACGGCGGGCAAGGCAAAGGACTCCACCTCACTCGACGAGCATGGCATCTGAAGCAGGCCCATCGTCTGTGGGCGGGGACGGGAGTGGAGGCCATGGAGAACTTGCTGCTGACCCTCTGTACGAGGACTCGTTCCTCTCACGGGTCAAGCTCTTCCAGCTGCAGCCTACCAGTGGCAAGTGGGAGGAGATGGGCTTTGGCTTTGCCTCGGTAGCCTCCATTGTACGTGAGTGACTGTGGTGGAAGGGGAGGAGGGAGGAAGGTGCTGGTGGGTCTGCGGTTGCGGCTGTGGCAACGGCTGGGGCTGGCACGGGTGTGCTTGCAGGGGAGGGGAGGGGAAAGGGGGTATACTGCGCCTCTGTATGCCTCTGTTTGTCGTTATCCATACCTCCTCCTTTCCTGTTCCCCTTCCCCCCCCCCTCCCTGTCGCTGCTGCTAGGTGGCCACTCCCTGACACCAATTTTGACCTCTTGCCCTCAGCTCTCCCGCTGCTTAGCCAGGCTGGAACTGGCTTGGGAAATGGTGTCCGGATCCGGGGGAGTGGGTGGGAGCTGGGTGGGGAGGTAGGGGCTGGTGTTGGGCGGGGTGCTGGGCGTGGGGAATGGACTCACATGTGGTTGTTGTTGTTTATGGTGTCTGGTGCTGTGCGGCCGTGGCTGGGGCGGCACGTCGGCGATTCTCGGCTCGGCTCGGCGGGGCGGTGGTGGGCTCTGGCGTTGTGGGGTTGATGCGTGGCTCGGGACGGGCTGGTGTTGGGCGTGTGGGATGTGGTGCTGGTGATGATTCCGGATTGCAGGCGGATGGGCGGTACTACCTGGTCATTGTGTCGGAGGAAAAGCCGGACTCGGTGTTGGTGTGGACAGCAATCGACGACTCGGCCATCTTCCAGATCCAAGAAGAGTCGCTCATTGTGTGGGCAGATTCAGAGAACAAGCTGGACCTTGCAATCTCGTTTCAGGAGCCGCGCGGGCGCGACATTGTGTTCCAAGACATTTGCCAGGCGCAGCGGCTGCAGCAGGACGGCGGGCCGCAGGCGATGGAGCTTGAGTCGCCGGGCGACAATGACGAGGAAGAGGACGAGCGCGAGCTTGATGTGGGGAGCTCGGGTGCAGCTGGCACAGGAGGACAGGGTGGAAGCGGAAGCGGTGGGCAGGCTGCGGTGGCGCCAGCGTCGGGTACGAGCGGGAGCTCGTTCTCGATCTCGCCCTTCCGCCGTTTGTGCGGCTTGAGGACGAGGAGTCGATGTACATGGAAGTGCCGCCGGTGAGTGTGGAAACACTGGGCGCCCTGGCCAGCACGCTAGAGAACGTGCCAATGGCGCAGCGGCAGGCTGTGGCGTCGATTGTGCTCACGCAGGGATATGTCGACGAGCTGCTGATGCTGTTTGACACGCTGGAAGAGGCAGGCAACATTGACAAGCTGCACGAGGTCTTTGCTGTCTTCAAGGCCCTCATTCTGCTTAACGAGCAGGCGCTCATCGAGATGCTGCTCTCCAAGGCTTACATTGTGCGTGTCATCGGTGCGCTCGAGTACGATCCCGAACTCCCGACGCGGCCGCGGCACCGCGAGTTCCTCCTCTCCAAGGCCAAGTTCAAGCAGGTGCTCCCGTTTGCCTCGCCTGAGCTGGAGGACACCATCCACCAGACGTTCAAAGTCTCGTACATCAAGGACGTGGTTTTGCCACGTGTCCTCGACGACGCTACCTTTACAACACTCAACACGCTCATCTACTTTAACAACGTGGAAATCATCGAGCAGGTCTACGCCGATGAGCAGTACCTGCCGTCGGTCTTCCAGCAGGTCGTCGCCGCCGACGCGCAGCCGGAGCGAATCAAGGAGTTTGTCCTGTTTCTGGACGAGTTCTTCTCGCTCACCAAGATGCTGCAGCTGAAGCGGCGGACAGAGATGTACCGCGACCTGTGCTCCAAGGGCTTGCTCGACATCTTTGAGCCGACGATTGACTCGCCGGAGAACGCGGTCCGCATGGCGTCGACAGACATCTTTGCCTGCGTCGTCACCCACGATCCGAACATCATGATTGCCTACCTGCTGGGTCAGGAGGCCGTTGACTACCCGCTGCTGCGCAAGATCATGGTCCAGCTGACGTGCGACCCGGAAAATGGGGTCCAGACACAGCTGACCGAGGCGCTCCGGGTCCTGCTGGACATGGAGTCGCTCAAGGACTGCCCGCAGCAGGAGGAGTTCCTCACCCTCTTCTACGACAAGATGATCCACATCCTGTGCGCGCCGTTCCAGTCTGATGCTGGCGAGGCGGCCGGGCCGTCGTCGGGCGCGGCGGTGGCCGGCCAAGGCGAGTCGGCAACTGCAGGCATCAGAGGCGAAGGGTCGACGCTCGCCAACTCGCGGCTCTACGGCTTCATCAAGAACAACGTGTCGGACCTGCTCTCGTTCTGCATCCAACAGCACGGCTACCGGTGCAAGTACTTTATTCTGAGCAACAACATTGCGTCGAACGTGCTCAAGCTTGCGCTCTCGCGAGACATGTACCTCGCCCTTGCCGCTGTCCGGTTTATGCGCGCCTTCCTCGCTGTGGGTGACGTGCGCTACTGGCGTTACATGATCAACAACCGCCTGTTCGAGCCCATCATCGAGCGGTTCATGCTCAACGGCGCCCGTGACAACCTTTACACTGCCGCCGTCGCCGAGCTTCTTAACTTTGTGGGTCGGACCGGCGTCTCATCCATCATCGAGCACATCATGACGTATATGCCGCGACTGAACTGCTCGCCGTTCTCGTTTGTGTTTGAGGACCTGCGTACCACGGCCGAGCAGCTCCGCAAGAAGCGCGAGAACAACGCCGAGCGCCACCCGTTCCCGGTCCAGGTCACCTCGGAGGCCATGCGCCGGTCCAAGTCGTCAACACAGGAGCAGCGTGCGCTATTTGGTGCTGCTGCCGCCACCGCTCTCGACCGCGGCCCGCCGTCATCCGACGACGACGACTCGCTAGCATCGTCCTCGGTCTCGGGCTCAGCCTCTCTCGCTGTTGACGATGAGGTCACCTCGGAGACCGGCTCGTCATCGTCATCGGCCTCAGGTTCATCCAAGTCGTCCCGCGCACGATCCGATGACGACGGCGAGAGCGGCGTCCCAAGTCTAGTTGCCGAGCACGAGCGTGCCGGAAAGAGGCGCAAGTCGCTCACCGGCCTGCCGGCCGGTGGTGTGGCCTGAGTCAGTCGTATGCGGGCCAACGGCCAAAAGCCGTGACCCTAGTCGCCAAGCCTCGAGCGCTCAGCCCAAGCCTGTTGTTGGCGGCGTGGTTGTGGTTTCATTTTATGGCTTGCAAAGCTCGCGAGTGCGTCGTTACGCCATCTTGGCCTTGCCCGGCTCACCGAACGGGTGCTCGGCACAGGCCATGCGGACGACGAGTGTGATCGGAACGAGCAGGTACGGAATGTAAATGGCGATTAGTGTGGCCCGAAGCTCGGGAGTGAGCACGCCGCCGGGCGAGTCTGCCTTGGGCTCGGCGTAGGCGATCTCTGCCAGGATGGGCACGAGCGTGGTCGCCACGTGAGCTCCGTAGATGATGGCCGGGATGCGGATCCAGTTGCGCTTGGCAACAAAGGCGTAGACGGCGACAAAGAAGAACGGCAGCTGAAGAAGCGCCTCGCAGACCACCAGCGAGACAAACCACCGCGGCGGGTCGGCAACCAGCGGGTCGTGGAAGGTCTCCACATGGTACGCTAGCAGTTCCTTGGCAAATCCGGGAACCAGCTCGGCCACCACCGGCAGGCACTGGGCGTCAATGAGGGCCGTCGTCGGAATGTGGACCGCAAAGTAGACCAGAAACACAGCATCTAGCCACCACATCGTCTTCTACCTGTACTCTATGTCTTTTGTGTGAGCCTGTCAAGTGTCTTCGCCTCCACCGTCGCCGTCTCCCAGCGGTAGCTAGGGCCGGCCGGCCCTGTCGCACATCTGCCGTGGGCCACCCCGACGGCATCGCCCTGGCCTGGCCTGGCCTGCTGGCATGGCAACTCTCCATCAGACCACACCCCGTCGACTACCAGATGCTCAAGTTGGTTGATGGCTGTGCCATAGGAGTAGGCACCCCATATTTGGCCCTCCATCGCCATGGATGTCGTGCCTTGTCAACTTGGCCGTAGCTGGGCGGGTCACCAGGGGGGCGTACACAGCGTCCTCCCCCCCCCTTACTTCCCGCCCACCTTCCTCACCTCCTTCTCCCTCTCCTTCTTCCTCCCCCTCCTCCCCCCTCCCCCCCGCCCCACACACACACTACACTCGCAGGGGCATGGCAGTACAAGAGCTTGCCCCCGCAGTGAAGGAGCTGCAGCTTGTAGAGCCTGCACCTCGTCCACGAGTTCCCTATCCCCTCCTAGACCATCGTACGTAGCCCCTGCCTTGTCAAACGGCGCCTTCCCTCGGTCCGGTCTGTGACAACACTGAGAGAGAGAGAGAGGGGGGAAGGGAGGGAGGGAGGGGGGGAGTGAGGGAGTGAGGGAGGGAGGGTGAAGGGGAGGGTGAATGTGTACTGTGGTGGTGGTTGTAGTGGCTGTGGTGGCTGTAGTGGCTGTAGTGGCTGTAGTGGCTGTGGTGGTGGCTCTGGTGGTGGCTGTGGTCAGGAGGGCGACATGATGGTCGATGTGTCCTCACAAGTGTATGTGTGTGTATGTGTGTGTATGCGTGTGTGTATGCGTGTATGTGTGTGTATGCGTGTGTGTGTATGCGTGTGTGTGTATGCGTGTGTATGCGTGCGTGTATGTCCCGATCAACTTGGTCATCCCCTCATGCTGGTCATCATCGCACCGATCTCGGCCTCCCTCCTGTTCACACACTGCAGAAGTCTATCAGCAGACGGGAGGCAATGAGGCGTTTGTGGTCCGTCCCGCCACAGTCCATTTTGGCGGCTTTACACCAAACAACTCGCATAGCCTTGTGGTGGCGGTGGTCAACACATCGTCAGTTCCGCAGCGGCTGCACATCGTCCCGCCGCAGTCTGCGTACTTTTCGCTGACTTACGTCAAGAAGGCGCCGTTCATCGCTCCTGGCATGGCACTCAAGCTCAGGGTCTCGTTCCAGCCGACCGAGTTGCGCTACTACTACGACTGCATCCGGCTTCACTGCCCTGGCGCCAACCTCCTTGTCCCCATCCACGGCTACCCAGTGGTGGCCAAAGTCGAGTTTCCCAAGGTTGTCGACTTTGGCATTGTTGAGCTCGGCAATCACGCGTCGCGCTCGTTCCAGCTTGCCACCGACGTGCCGATCGAGTTTGACTACGCCATTACGCCGGCTGGCGGCGTCCCGCTCTCGCCATGCTTTGATGTCTCGCCGGCCAGCGGAGTCATCCCTGCAGAGGGCTCTGTCACCGTCACCATCACATACACTCCGCTCGAGTACGTGACTGCGTCGGCGCAACTTGAGCTCAACGTCTCGCAGTTCAACTTTGAGCCGCGCCGCTGCTCATTGGCCGGCTCGTCGCAGCCAGGCCTTCTGCGCGACGCGCTCGTTCGCCGCATGAACGCTGCTGCCGAGGAGCGGACCGCGGTCCTTGCCGAGGATCTCAAGCGGGTGACCTACGGCGGCGCCGCAGTAGTTGTTACCCAAGCTGTCGACTCGTACGATACCAACGTCAAGATTGTCCACTCGGGCGGCGGCGCCGGCCACGGTGACCCGTACACCCGAAAGCTTCAGCGCAAGGCCTCAATGCGGAGGCGGACACTGCGTGCTGCCGGTGTTGATCCGCGGAGTCATGAGCCAGCTGGAAGCGGGAGCGAACCCGGGCGCGCTCGCGGACCCATTGCTGTGCACACCAGCGATGCCGAAGAGCTGGAGCGTCTCTCGTCGCACGGCAATGTGGTAGCTATCCTCGCCCAGCGTGGACGTGGCCGCTCGCGCTCTAAGACTCTTCGCACTGCCATCGCGGAGAAACATGAGGCACAGGCGCGGGCCTCGCAGTTCAAGTCGTCGCTCGACGAGCTCTTTGCCGACCCCTTTGAGTCGCGCCAGGTCAAGGAGTATGCTTTCTCCGAAGTGCTTACCGAGCAAGCCGCCATCCGCCGCGCCAACGAGCTCAAACTCTCGGTTGCCCGTGGCGCAAACCTGCCATCAGACGCCGAACTCGCGCGCATTGTGGAGCTCCGGGACGCCCACGACGAACAGGTAGCTGATGTGGAGACCGAGCGCGCGCTCGCGGCCCGTATCCCTTGGTCGTCGTCGGAGCGGCCCACGCTAACTCAGGCCGGCCTCCCGTTTGCGGTGCGGAATCCCAAGTTTGATGCGCTCATGTCAGTCGAGTGGGAGCGCCGTGTCCGCGCACTCACCCGCCTCCGTGACGTGGTGCGAACGCTCATTGTCCGAGCGCGCGCCAACAAGCGGCTGGCCAAGATTCGCGCCTTTCTCACTGTCGTCGGCTTTGACAAAGACAAGATCGCTGCTATTGTCCAGGACGAGAAGCGCCAGCAAGAGGCTGCGCTCGTCGCCCATCAGCAAAAGGCCGAGACGCTGCCGCTGACAGCTCGCGCCTCCCAGGTTCTTGTCGACGTCCTTCCGTTGTGCTTGGTGAAGATGCCGCCCTGCTGGGCGGGCGCGGCGCCGACGGTGTCGACCTCGCACCCCTACCGGTCACCACCATGCGCCATGCACTCGATCTGCAGCCGCACAAGCTGCAGGCCCATGTCTACGTCGAGGTCAACCACTACCGGCCGTATCCGCTGCCGCAGCACTCGGTCTGGGTGCCGTTTGAGGAGGAACGCGAACTGCGGACAGGCGCCGAAGAAGAGGACATCTCGCGGTCGGTACCGGCTGATGCAGTCGTGCGCTCGGCTGACGCTGGCCGCGTTTGGCGCGAGTCGGACACTGTTGCGCCGGCCCTGCCCGAGCCGCTTCCGGCGGTCCTTCGCGCACCGCCGCTTCTGCCAGAGCTACACATCTTCAATCCCGCGCCGCAACTTCCGAGCTGCGTTCCGCTCGTTCCCTACTCGGAGGTCGACGACGCGCACCTTTTCCGGCCGCGGGCGCTTGACGCCGGAGGCCTTGCCGCCTCGCGCAACCGCATCGAGGCGTCGCTCGCGCACGCCAAAGCCTTTTCCAAGCCGTCCCAACACCTTGTGCCGCGAACGGGTGCACCGTTTGCCGTTCCTTCGCCGCCACCGCCGCTGGTCTCAGCTACGGACCTCGGCGAGCGCTCCGGGCCCGGCAGCCACAGCTGCGGCGAATCGCGCGGCGAGGCTGGCATGTTCTCGGCCGCGGATCTCGACCGCGAGGCAGCAGCTGCAGTGAGTGACGTTGACGTCGGCCTGCCCATCCCGTCCAAAGCGCTGCTCAAGGTCGAGTTTCCGCCTGTGGCGGCTGCAGCGGCCAGCGCTGTGCGGCTCTCCGTTGTTGAGCGGCAGCTCGAGGTTGAGGCGCAGACCGTCCGCCGCAACCGGCTCGATGGCATGCAAGGCCGGCTGGCGCGGCTCTCGTCGCTCTTTGTCTCGCATGACGTGAAGCGGCTGCTCTCAGCCTCGGCCGGAGCAAGCAGCGCACAGTCGGAGTAAATCGCGTTCATTCATATGTCCGTGCCGTAGTAGCGGTCGCCAAAGGTGCCGAGACCAGGAACGACGTAGTCACCCTTGACGGCCTCATCGACCTCGCCGACACAGATGGTGAGGCCCGGGAAGGCGGCGAGGATGGAGCAGACGGCGCGGCGCGAGGCAACGAGAGTAACCAGGATGACGTTCTCCTCAGGCACGCCCGACTTGAGAAGAACCTTCATGGCGCGGATGATGGTGCGGCCCGATGAGGCAACCGGATCCATGAGCAGGACCTTGCGCGACGAGACGTCCTCCGGGAGCCGCGCGTAGATCAGGTCGCGCGAGTTCTCCTCGGTGTTCTTCTGGATCAGGATCTTGCCAATGCGAACCGGCCCGCAGACCGACCGCAGAGCGTCTTCCATCGACTCGCCGGACCGGATGACCGCCACGCCGCAGATCGACGACGCCCACGAGAGGCCGACAAACTCGTCGCCGGTCGGCGTGATCACTGTCTTGGATTCATACGGAAGCAACGACAGCGCAAACTCGACTACCAGCCGGGTCAGCCGGTCGCAGGTAAAGACAAAGTCCGACCGGACCGTCTCTCGGTTACGGATGATGGTGAACATGCCCTTGATCTGGTTCGTCGACCTCAGCACGTGGATGTGCGGCAGGACAGTGGCCTGCACCCGTTCTCCGCCCACCAACCCCACATCCACCACCGCATCCATCACACCCACCATCATATCCATCGCATCCATCGTCAACCATCGTCACGGCCGCCAATGAGTCGCGCTCCAGCGAGCCATGCCCCCGACACCTCCCCTTCCCTCCGGCCTCCCCCCACCAGTGCAACCCTCTTCCCCCCTCCCCCCTCCCCCCCCCCCTCCCCCTTTCCTGTCCCATCAATTTCCCTTCCCTCCCCCCTCCCCCCTCCCCATCCCCCCCGCCCCTCCACTGACCATGTCACCGTGTCCCCCTCTCCTCATCCCGGCAATCCGCTCAAAATGGTATCCTTCCCCCCAATCTGGGCCTACACGTGCCAAGGAACGCGCGGGACAGA